TACTACTTTTTGCAATAACCCAAAAAAGAACAGAAACATTTAAATACATAAAGGGAATCAACACAGTAAAGGAGGAGACTATATTTAAATGAAGAAAAACTGAAACTCTTCCAGCTGAAGTGGTAGAGGCTAACACAGTAAAGGAGTTTAAGCATGCGTGGGATAGGCATAAGGCTATCCTAACTATAAGATAAGGCCAGGGACTAATGAAAGTATTTAGAAAATTGGGCAGACTAGATGTTCTATGTTTCTATGATTGCTCCTATCTCAAACTGGGACTGCTACTGCCTTCACCTTCAACATCCTTCTCTAGCTCCTTTTTCAGCTCTGGACATTTGATCACCTGCTCATTTTTGTTATTCTTGATGCTATTACCAAATACACCAACACTGCAGTCTTCTATTCTTTTTTTACATCCACATTACCAGGTAAGTTGGCCAGTACTTATTTTGTATAGGTGGATCTGAAAGTCCCACAGGAAAGTCCCCCAGTGGTACATCCCATGGAGAGGTTTGTTTTGCCATGGAACCTCCTCCTTTTCTGCATCCTCTATCTGTTGTTGACTCAGGCATTCACTTAGCAGTTCATCTTTATAAGTCGTCTTTGTGTTGTACGTGTGGATGCTCTTTGTTTTTAATCCATGACTGCGGCATTGACACTCATTATGTGTTATGCCTATATGTAGAGACATAAAGATATAGAGAAACCAACAGAATCCGAACAGGAATTGGTCCAGCAAAGTGTATCGACATTAGCAGTGTTTGTTAGAATGTACAAAGTAGATTGTGGAGAAGAAAAATATATACGGAAACTAGAACAGTGATAAATGGAATAGAAACATATCTGTAACCAAATACTTTGCAATATTCAATAAAGTGTCATGTTTTGAAAAGTAGTACAAATCTCTTAATGTGTGGCCGATCACCATGAAAGCCAATAGAATTTCCAGGGATGTTTAATTCATTTCACCTTTAACATTTTGTCCCACTATTCTAGGATTTTACCCACAGACAACAGAAGAAACGACCAGACACTCAAAAATAGACAACATAGGGATACTATAACCCAAATCAGAATGGCGATGTTTCAGCCGATAAAATAGGATTAGCTCAAGTTCTGGCAGTTATGGGGCCTTAAAAGGATTCTCCTGTGCCAGGAAAACGTATTTGTTTACCTGTCACTGCAGGACCCTCTAGTGCCCCTCTACTTCCCATCCCCCATCACAAGTTGCTGAAGGGATTAAAATCCCTTCAGTGACTTACCGGAGCCCAGCGCCGATGTCCCTCGGCGCTGGGTCAGGCGCCACCTATGCTCCTCCCTCGTCGTCAGCCGGCGGAAGAGACCTACTGCACATGCGCGGCCGTCGTCGGGGGAGACCTAATGCGCATGTGCGGCAATGGCACACGCATTAAAATGACACAGAGCACTGTGATTGGATGGCTTCCAAGCCATCCAATCACAGTGCTTTGTGTCATTTTACACAGCGTGGGAAAGATCTTTGGAATTTTCCCACGCTGTGTAAAATGACAAAGAGCACTCTGATTGGCTTAAACCCACCAATCAGAGTGTTCTTTATAAGCCTTCCCCCGCCCTGCGGAGCTCAGTCTGCGTGGAGCCCTCCATGGGTGAAGATGGATTATTTTTTTGCGCTCTGGTTTTTTCTTTTTCATCAGGTTTTTTTTTTTTGCGCTCGGGATTTTTATTTATTTTTTAGTTCGACGGTTATGTTGGTTTTTTATTTGGCCTTTTTTGGGGCTGAAAAATGAAGATTTGTGAAAAAAGAAGACGTCGAATGGTAAGTTTAATTTTATTTTACAGGTTAGTTATTTTATTCCCCCCTCACTATTTTTTAGGGTGAGGGGGGTAGGTAGGGACTTTTTATTTGGGGGGGGGTGACTAGGGGACCCCTAGTCACCCTGGGGGGGCGGAAATTTACTTAGGGCCCCCACCCGCACCCCAGGGGTGGAGGCTGGGGGGGGAGGACAGTAGGTCCCCCCCATTATCTTTATGGCCCCCACCCGCCGCGCAGGGGTGGGGGTGGGGAGTTAGTAGGTCCCCCCCCTCATTGTCAATATGGCCCCCACCCGCCGCGCAGGGGTGGGGGCGGGGGGGGACAATAGGTTCATTTTAGGGCCCCCACCCACCGCTCAGGGGTGGGGGCCGGGGAGGGGCAGTAGGTCCCCCCCCCTCATTATCAATATGGCCCCCACCCACCACGCAGGGGTGGGGGCCTGGGGGGGCAGTAGGTCCCCCCCTCATTATCAATATTGCCCCCACCCGCCGCGCAGGGGTGGGGGCAGGGGGGGACAATAGGTCCCCCCCTTATTGTTCATTTTAGGGCCCCCACCCACCGCTCAGGGGTGGGGGCCAGGGGGGGACAATAGGTCCCCCCTCTTGTTATTTTTAGGGCCCCCACTCACCGCTCAGGGGTGGGGGCCAGGGGGAGGACAATAGGTCCCCCCTATTAGTATTTAGGGCCCCCACGGGGGGGGGACCCTTTTTTTTAAACAGTGAGCAGCCACAGGCTGCTCACTGTTTAATAGACATGCCCCTACTCGCGGTATTGCGAGTAGGGGCACAATTTACTAATACTAAGTAATTTATACTTAGTATTAGTAAATTAATAGGGGGCGGACCGAACATCGCATATGTTGGCCGTCCGTGGCGAACGCGAACACGCTATGTTCGCCAGGAACTATTCGCCAGTGAACCGTTCGGGACATCACTAGAGGAGGACTTAACCCTGCAATGTAAATATTGCAGTTTATGAAAACTGCAATAATTACACTTGCAAGGTTAAGGGTAGTGGGAGTTTGCACCCAGACCACTCCAATGGGCAGAAGCGGTCTGGGTGCCTGGAGTATCCCTTTAACTGTTGCCACTCTGTTATATGGAATAACATGTGTCCATGTTACTCACCAGTTGTTGAGCCCTTAAATTTGTGGATATGGGGCTCTAGATTACTTCCAACCTTGTGAGGATGCTTTAATTTATAGGAGTACCAGTTCTCTGTGGCATGGAAGAGTTTTCACTCTAACTCAACCGGTCAAATTTTGACGATTACACATTTTTTTTCTAAGGCTGGCAAAGTACCTTTCTCTTCAAGGCATCAATCATTTTGTTTTAGATGCTCTTTAGTTAATACTGTGGTTAAAGTAAGCTTTAAGGTTATATGGTAGATTCCTTAAGTGGAAAATATTACAGCAACTTGACTCTAGGAACTGAAATACATCTGTACTCAAGTTAAATATTATTACACTGTAACCGTATCATACCTATCACGTATTGTTTTAAGAAGCCAACACATATTTTATGGAAGCAAACATTTCCTTTGGAACTCGAAACAGGCTAAATTTCTTTAACGAACAAACGGATGTTATCTTTGAAAGAAAAAAAAAATATTAAATAACATAACATATGGAAAAAAGCTAACAACGACTCAAAGGAATTACTTAAACTGGCTGTAAAACAGTATGTTTCCAGAGCCAGCAGCACTAGCAGGTTTGAGGAAAAGTTGGTTACCCAAAAGGCTCCATCTGGTGGAGACAAGCCATTTGAAAGGAAATATTCATTGAAGGCCAAAAGCAACCGATGTCCATATGAAAGACTTGGCATAAGGAATACTTGATTGCCTGTTCTGAGCCAATGCCATCAAACACATACAGAGTTCTATGTATAGACACTTACATTTTTCACCCTTTCATTTTTTAGGCAGTTTAATTCAACCTTCTATTTTTATATTATCTAAGTACAAGGAGGGAACCCACAGCTCCCACCACTGGCATACATACCACGGTCGCAAGGGTCGCAGCTGTAACCAGGCCCGTCACTCCAGGGGGCCAGGCTGCCCTGCGGACCCCTGTGACCGGGTACCTGCCACCATCTTTTGCGGCCCTGGCCTGCGCAACAAACCGCCGGGGCCGCCCTTCAAGGGGTCCATTGGGTGGCACATGCTGTCAGAGCCACCCGATGGAGATGGATTGTCAGGGGCCCGGTCAGCGCTGGGTGCTTTAACAGCTCGACTGGGCCTCCTGTGATGATGTCAGCCAGAGCTGGGAGGAAGTAACTGCACGTCACTCCACCCAGTCATCAGAGAGTCGCGCGGGAGGAAGGAGGAGGGAGTCAGAGTTCTAACAGCTACGGCTAGGGAGGTACCATATGTTTTGGGGTGTTTCATGCAAATTTCAATGAGTTCATTCATGTTTCATACAAATGATCTTATTGCACGAAATTCGGACAAATTTGCATTCATCCAAAAAAAAATGTCCAAGTCTATTAATTAATGTTACTGTTGAAGGAGCTTGTTAAACCATAGTTCCTACATTTACAAAAATACCTGTACTCACAAATGAAGAATTAAATACTGAAAAGTATTTCTATTTATTTCAAGCATGCAATATTCATTTTTGCAAAAAAAATAAAATAATGGATGTATTATGTACCCCTTAAATGCTATTCATAATCATGTTCTATACATTTCTCAATGTCAATTTTCCAGAACGTCACAACAGTGATACATGTTAAAGGGCTTGTAAACTGATTAGACATGTGTTGCTGTTCACAACTGCAACATCTTTCATTGCATGTAATAAGCATGTTTGTTATATGGGACAGTAGGTGGGGCTGTTTCAAATGTACATATGGAATGAAATACTGTTTGTTTCTGTCTCTGCATGAGTTTACAATTAACTGAAACTGATCTAAACTGGCAATGTTTTCCTGTTACTCTGTTCTAAATGTAAAAATTTTTCATATTCCCTGCAGTTTAATGTCCTACATTCATTTTCATACTGCGCAAGTTTTTTTTTTCCCAAGTATACCGATATCTATATCTACCAAAGTAGTGGGGGCACTCTTTTTAGCCAAATTGAATATAAAACAAGTATATTGCACTATTACAATGCCTTGGTGCTGCCAAGATGAAACATAAAACAATTATATACCAAAAAAATACCGAACAAGTGGGCACTCACATGGCTTTTTAAATAATTAAAAAAACAAAAAACTTTCATTCGTGCATCGTCAACGTTTTGGACCTGATCACAGTTCTTTCTCAAGACCTTAAAAAAGGACCGTGATCAGGTACAAAACGTTGACCATGCACGAATTAAAGTTTTTTTTATTTTATTTTTTTACTTTAAAAAGTCCTATGAGTGCACACTTGTTCGGTATTTTTGTGGTGCGTACACACACACACACATATGTATAAACGGCATAACTGATTTAAAAAAAAAAATCATATTAAATGTCAGAATTTACATTGATGTGCTTCATCCTTGTTCCAAAATCATACATTTTCTGCTTTTAGTTTTTCTGCTGCTTTTCTACCCCCTAATGTGCAGAAAGCTTCGCAATCAAAGGGTCACAGGTGGAAACATTTGTAGGAAAGCTTTGCAGCTGGTAGATAAACACAGACTATAAAAAAGACTGTGAACATACAATCACTACAAGACCGATCTTCTTTCCTTATGCTTTGTGAAGTGCATTCAATTCCGTGTGTGTATCTTTCCTTTGATGGCTTTGATGGGCCTACTTACCTGCAAATCTAAACTCACTGCACTGCATGATTTGCAAGTGATTGCTACGTTCAAACATGAATATTGTGCAAGCAAAGCAAATATTTGTTTTTTTGTTTTTGTATTTAATGCCATTTTAAATGTCAAATGCTACCTAACAGTGATCTGTACTTAATATTGTTGGATAAGCTTTTCAAATGATTAAAAATGTTTGGCTTTTAAATTGAAAATTATGAAAAAAAATAATACATTTGTACTACTTTGATATATTTTTTTATTTTTTTAAATAGATTATATATTTTCACATATTAATATTTTTTCAAAAGTCATTTGAAAATTGTATCCAAAAAGATAAAATAATGTAAAAAATTTAGAAAATTTAACCAAATGTATTAAATTGAGGCTAATGTTTAAAAATATGTACTACGGATAAAAGAAAGGAAAACTATCATGAAAAATATAGCTTTTGTTATTTTGTAACAGCATGCATTAAGTAATGCTAATTTGTCACAACTATAACTTCTTAGTTTAAGAGTTATTGTTGTTTGGTATAGGTTACATTTCCTCTGATGCAGTGGTTGCCTAACCTTTTTTTCCCTGCTTCTCCTTTGCCCCAGGCTCTACCTGCCTCTCCAGGCTCCCCCTACGTCTCACAGTACAGATACACTAACACACATTCAGATACAAACACTGATGCATATAGATACATACACAGACACACGTGGACGAATAGACACATAGATACAAGCACTGACATACATACAGATAATAATCAATGTCACACAAAGACACAGATCCAAACACTGACACAAAAACAAACATGTTTACACATGCAGATGCACAGACACACAGATGCAAACACTGACACACATACAGTTGCAGAGACACAATAAAACACACTGAGAGACACATATACAGATGTACAGACACACAGATCAAAACAATGACACACTCACACAGACAAATAGACACACAGATAAAAACACTGCCACATACAGATAAATGCACAGTTGCAAACACTGACACACATGCAGATACACAGACACACACAGGTGACACATGTACATACACAGACATACATATACAAGCATGAACACACATGCTGTTGCATACACACATACAGTTGCACAGACACACTGACACATACACAGATACAAACACTACATACACACAGATACAGACACCCAACCCACTGTCATCAAGATACCCTGAAAGTGAGAACAAAACCCTAATATCTGTTAAATTAAAAAAAATTCAAACATTCAATTTTTTTTAAAGCCGCAATGTTAATATATGTTTTAACCTTTTTCCCCTGGTGTGCAATAGTCCTGGGGAAGACATTACTCTCACAACAAGAGGAGACAAATAAAATACTAATAAAGAGGATATTAATTATTGATTTCAAATAATAAATATGTTTACACAAAATATGATTAGAAATTCAGTAATTCTGGTCAACCTGGTTTAACAAATAGAAACTCTCGTATGCTAATCAGTAGGAATGTGCATGGGCAAAAAATTCAGTCTGGTTTGGCACTTCTGAAATTCGGCACTTCGGTTCAGTTCAGCACTTTTGAAATTCGGAACTTCGGGAATTCGAGACTTTGGGAATTCGAGACTTCGGCAATTCCCTAACTGTACCCCTAACCCTAACCCATAATTCTAACCCTAACTGGGTTAGGGGTAGGGTTAGAGGAAGGTTGGGGTAAGGGTTGGGTTAGGGGTAGGGTTGCGGTTAGGTTAGGGGGTAGGGTTAGGGTTAGATTCCTGCCATCATTCCCTTAATTTTACCTCCCTCTCCTGTTTTGCCACTTTTCAGAAATCCGAAGCACTTCGGCACTTCTGAAATTCAGCACTTCGGCAATTTGGTTCCATTCAGCATTTGGAAATTCGGCACTTCGGCAATTCGGAAGCATCTGAATGTCCAAATTGCCAAAATTTATCAGAATTTAAATTTGGACCGAAACGAATTGCACATATCTACTAATCAGTCATTTGTGACAATTATACATTAATGATAGGCTTTTTATTACACATTTAGCATAATAATGCTTCACATTCTCAATTTTTATACAGCACTAAAGACATTATATCTCTGGCTTGTATAGGCTTACAGAATGTGGTTATAATCATTGTATTGGTTTTCACACCACAGACAGCCTTGTGTAATGAACACCCAGAGGCATCTAAAGGGGGGCTGCCACAGTTGACAGGCAGCAGGGAGGTGCACAGCGCACCCCTCTCATACCAGAGCACGCACCTGACTGTCAGCATGTTGCTAGTGGGGGTACTTGTTCTGCCACTAACTTGGAGTTGGATGTGGTGCTGACCCTGAGGGAACACTGATTTCCAGCACACCATTTACCGGTGCTGATGCTGGGACATGACATCTATGTAGCCCTAGCAAGAGTACAGATCAGCATGAAACTGTGAAATCAGACACTGAAAGCAGCAACACCCCACTGGACAGAATGGACGAGGTTCCACACCAGCTCTCTAATAATGGAGTGGCTGAGTAGAACAAATAAATAATTCTAATATGTATAGGTTTGTGCATGGATGTAGAGTGTGTATAGAATTGTATGTGTGTATATTAGTCTGTGTCAGAGTATACAATGAGTGTATATGAATGTGTATGTATGCGTATGTGTATATGAATGACAGTGTATACATGTAATTTTCCTAAAAAAAAAAATGGGTTGTAGCTAGTACAGTGGGAGACCCAAAAATGTATTTGCAGGAGGTGTCAAAAATTTCTGCCCCAGGTGCCATTTAACGTAAGTACACCTCTGTGCACACTTGGTAATAAGAGATAATCATGTCTCTGATAATATAGAAGTGTTATTCAATAACCAAAATAAAAGCTATCCCAAGGAGCAACTATGTGTCTTCTACATACATAAATGGAAGCATTTGAAATCCAAACTATAAATGAAGTGTTAAATATTCAAACATTAGTAACCCCTTATTTATATTGTAAATTATCTATTCTCTCTGTGTTGAGGGCCTCTTAAAAATCAGAGATTTTTAAAATATTAAATATCATGTGTACCAGGGATTTGACATTGCCTTAAAGGATCACTATAGAGTCAGGAACACAAACATGTATTCCTGACCCTATAGTGTTAACACCACCATCTAGCCCCCCTGGGCCACTCATGCATCTATAAATATAGTAAAAATCTTACTGTATTGAAGCCTGAAGCTGTAAATCTGCATGCTGTTAGACTCAGAAAAACAAGCAGTCTGCTGACATGTGGTAGCCTTATCCAATCACAGTGCTTCCCCATAGGATTGACTGAGACTGACAAAGAGGCAGATAAGGGGCAGAGCCAGCATGATTCAAACACAGCCCTGGCCAATCAGCATCTCCTCATAGAGATGAATTGAATCAATGAATCTCTATAAGGAAAGTTCAGTGTCTGCATGCAGAGGGAGGAGATACTGAATCACAGGATGCTGTGCACAGTGCTGCCCTGTGCTCTGCTGACAGCAGATCTGAGTAGATGGAGGCATATTATGCCTCCATCAACTCCAAAGTCCCTCTAGTTAACTCTGAATGACTGCAACTGGAGGTGTTCCTAGATTTCAATGTAAACACTGTATTTTCTCAGAAAATACAGTGTTTACATGAGAAAGGCTGCAGGGAGCTTTAGTTCTCACCTGAACAACCTCATTAAGCTGAAGTTGTTCAGGTGACTACAGGGAGTGCAGAATTATTAGGCAAATGAGTATTTTGACCACATCATCCTCTTTATGCATGTTGTCTTACTCCAAGCTGTATAGGCTCGAAAGCCTACTACCAATTAAGCATATTAGGTGATGTGCATCTCTGTAATGAGAAGGGGTGTGGTCTAATGACATCAACACCCTATATCAGGTGTGCATAATTATTAGGCAACTTCCTTTCCTTTGGCAAAATGGGTCAAAAGAAGGACTTGACAGGCTCAGAAAAGTCAAAAATAGTGAGATATCTTGCAGAGGGATGCAGCACTCTTAAAATTGCAAAGCTTCTGAAGCGTGATCATCGAACAATCAAGCGTTTCATTCAAAATAGTCAACAGGGTCGCAAGAAGCGTGTGGAAAAACCAAGGCGCAAAATAACTGCCCATGAACTGAGAAAAGTCAAGCGTGCAGCTGCCACGATGCCACTTGCCACCAGTTTGGCCATATTTCAGAGCTGCAACATCACTGGAGTGCCCAAAAGCACAAGGTGTGCAATACTCAGAGACATGGCCAAAGTAAGAAAGGCTGAAAGACGACCACCACTGAACAAGACACACAAGCTGAAACGTCAAGACTGGGCCAAGAAATATCTCAAGACTGATTTTTCTAAGGTTTTATGGACTGATGAAATGAGAGTGAGTCTTGATGGGCCAGATGGATGGGCCCGTGGCTGGATTGGTAAAGGGCAGAGAGCTCCAGTCCGACTCAGACGCCAGCAAGGTGGAGGTGGAGTACTGGTTTGGGCTGGTATCATCAAAGATGAGCTTGTGGGGCCTTTTCGGGTTGAGGATGGAGTCAAGCTCAACTCCCAGTCCTACTGCCAGTTCCTGGAAGACACCTTCTTCAAGCAGTGGTACAGGAAGAAGTCTGCATC